CTAATCTGTTGTAGAAACATTTCCTTTTTTTCCTGTAAATGACTGTCAAACACATACAGGTTTTACTGCAAATGCATAAAATTCAGTATAGTCCTATGTATTCTCAGTTAATTCCATTTAATGCTTTATAGGCAAAGTGTATCCTAGATGCTAGCAGAAGAGCATCTGAGGACTGATGGAAATCAACATAGCCCCATTTATTTCAGGTAACCAGTTAAGGATATGACCTTAGTTACTAGTGGCTAAATCCTCCGAGTACAGCCAAACATAATTAAACAAGTGTGTAGACCTTCTGACTCCAATAGCGGTATTAAGATGTGCAAAATTACTCAAAATCAGGACTCCAGGAAAACAGCAATCAGATTTGTCCTCTAAAAGTCTTTTTTCTGCCCTTTTCAGAGTTTGCTACTTATTGGAGTTAACAGAGTAACTACAAGTCAACTAGAGCAGAGTGGCGATCCCCTTCACGTGCACTCACTCTGTGTCACTGCCTTTGCTACCTGACCGTGCGGTGACCGCAGCGGTGGTAGGACTAAAGCCACCACCTCGTCCTTCACACGATGCAGCGAGCGCCTGTTCCCCAATGCTCCCAATCCGATGCCACTTTTCAAGAGACACCCTTCAAAATACCACGATAAATCACAGCTAGTAGCTCTGAACCCGCTTCGGGAAAGCCACAGGTGTGGCATTGCCAAGCGCCGTAATTAGGCGGTATTACACCACTCCCTTGGCTTACGAGTTATTCAGAGGCCTTTAATTACTTTTGAATTTAAGCCATTCTGGCAGAATTTTTAGCAAAGTCCGTCAGCGGCGTGGCCTGAGTGAAGCTATTCTAGAGACAGTTTGAAAAAAGAAAAAGAGTTTCTCTGGTGGCTAAAGAAAAATGTTGCAGCCGTTCTTCACGCCTGGTAGTCTAGAGGGAGGTTAAAGGAAACAGCTTCTGTCGACCGCTGCAGGCACTTAGTTACTGCGTTCCCTCTCTGCATCCAGGGAGGAGCTGTAAAAATTGTGGTCAAATCCATATATTATATAAAATAAAGGAGAGAAAAAAAATCTGAAAAGCCAGGAATGGCTTGAAGGGTTATCGTGATGTCATCAACCTGATTTCCAGTGGAGAAAAGCCATTGTTTCATGTGGGAGTGCAGACATAACGTAACTGATAAATAGAAAACAGGAAAGGCCATCATTTATCAAGAAAAAGTAATAAGTGATCACTACTTAATCAGTATTTTAGAAGTGTTCTTTAAAATAAGAATTGATTTCAGGGGCAAAATCCAATGGCTGGAGAGTTTTCAGCGCCGTGCAGCCTGCCGCATCCTCACCCCTCGCTGGCACACGCACCAGCACGCTCCTATCGCAAGGCTCAATTAACTCAGGTACCTTTAACCTGTAAACTTTTGTTCTGCAAAAAGCTGGAGCTTCACGCCTCTGCTCGTACGCACAAAACACACATATTGCTCCATATGTCGGCACCATATTGGTGTTGTCACCATTGTGTCCCCTCCTCTTCTGATGATCTTTTGTTGTAGCGTTTATTTTTGTGAGGCAAATAAAATATAGTAAATGTAAACCAATTATTTAACCAAATTACTTTGATCACGGGAAACTGACAATTAGTGTTACAGCTTCTCAGCAGTGAGATCCCCGCAGTAGAGCAGTCTGTGATACTCCCCACTGCAGTGGAAGCCAACGCAGTGCCTGTGTTTTACGTAGCGAACTGTGAGAGAGGAGAAAAGGGCAAGAGGAGCAAAGTCCATTTTGATCAACTCTCTTCTTATTCTCTATCCGGTCTTTGTAGGCTGTTTAGATTTTCTAATTTAAAGTTAATGTATTGTGACAGCTCCTCACAGAAACCTTGATGACTGATGTCAACACTTAAAGCAGACGCACGGAGGAATCAGCTGATGAGCGATCAGTGAATGCGCTAGGCTCTAGCCAAGCTACCAGCTGTAATTCTGATTTCTGATAGATGCTGATGAGGCACAGGTTAGTTATCTGTAATGACTAGCCATTTTAGCAGTTCTACCTATCAAGTATGATCCTTTTTTTTTTAAAAAAAAAAAGAGGAAAAATAACAATATAACCAGTACACCCACATGATTTGGGTTTCTTTTGAAAGCTTGAACGCGTCAGCCCTTCCATGAAATAGCTGTGAGTTAGAGCATTCTGGGTATTGTCATGCAAATGAGAACACCAAACATGCCACTTTTTGCTTCAAAATTGCACTGCAGTGACAAGCAGCTTTTAAAACGGGAGCGGGGCTTTCCGAGCTAAGTGGGTAACCCTATCTATGTATATATATGCCGTGAGATCCACTTTCTAAACTAAATGCTCATATACAAAGTCCTAATTGAACATCTGAGTGTTCAGACTGGTACTTACTGTGGAATGCACTACATGCCAGGATGTTTATTCCAATACGTGTTAAGGTGGTCCCTTAGGCTGGAATGCTGTCTTTCTCCCCTCTTCATACACTGCCGAAAAAAAAGAAGACACACAGTGAGGTTCAGTTTGTGCTGACATTCAGCAGCTCTTAAAGCCAGGCTATCTTGATACATCACTTCAACTAGCGAAAATTAAATTAATGCTACAGCAGCTTCTCAGCAGCACTCAAGAACTCAACCAATAAACCATGAGGAAAAAAACAAGAACTCTTCACCTGCCTTGTGGTTCTCAGAAGAATACCTGTAATCAAAAGCTATTTTGGTCCATTTTTAGGAGCAGTTTCAGAATCAATAAGAAAATGTGACAGACATCTCTCTCTCACTGTTACAAAGCAAGTCTAGCCCAAGAACTGCTGCTAGCAGCAGTCACAATGAATGGCCTGAGAAGAGCAACAGCCTTTGACACAGTCACCATCCCAGGTGACTCAGGACTTGGATGGGCTATAACCAACATCCTAAAAGCCTGCTGGAAGGCAGGATAGATCTCAGAGTACTGCTATTGAATGGTAAAGGATAAATAGAGCCTTTTTTATTTTATTAAATACATTGCGAAGCAATTGGAATTTAGTCCATGACCTGAATGTGGCCATGATTTTACTCTTAATCTCTGAACACTGCAGATAGATAGCAAAGTCATAGGTATAAATTGCAGGGTTGCCATACAAATGGAAAATTCTTGATCTACTACCCAGCCAGGAAAGGTTTTTAAAAGCTGAGTCATTGGGTACTGGATTGCTTCTAAATTTTCCCTGTGCACCAGCGTCAGCTCCATTGTCAGAACTGTTGCATGTTGCCTTATATGAATGCCCAGGGCCTCTATGGACTTGGGTATGCAACTTGAGACAGTCACACTTGAAAATGCACAAGGATATCAGAGTTAGTTGGATATTTTCACTCAATATCTCTGTCCTCAAAAGTCAGCTTTCCTGGGGAGACTGGTTGACATGATGGAAGAGGTTACTCAGGAGGCTGGGCTTTCTGGTGTTTGTTTGCTGCACATCCAGAAGGGAGTGGAAAAGGTAACTGAGCACTGCGAAACAAACTGCCCTCAGGCCAACCCAACCCATAAAACTCCCATGTATTTTGTTTTGAAATAGTTAATGTTGGTGCGAATTGATTAAAAAGAAAAAAGAAAAACAGTGATTCTGAGTAAGAGCTATTGCAATTCCCCTCATTTTTTTATTGTATGTTAGCAACATTATCTCCAAAGTCCTTTGGAACTGTTATTTAAGTAAAATGGCATTACATTTCCTTTTATTACAAGTGCAATTTATACACAAATTGGAGTAGATCATGATGCAGCAAAGAACTTTTTATACTGCATTGATTGTGCAGCAAAATAGTGCGTTATCAGCAGTATATGCCTCAGTGAGGAATGCTTTGTTGGTTTAAATGTGATCATTATGAGAAGAATTTAATATCTAGATACAATGATTTTACTGAAAACTTTGAGGGTAGACTGTTGTCATCTAGCTGAAAATGAAAGCTTGTTCATGATAATTGGAGAGTGGGGATTAATGGGAGGACCACACTATATATACCGCTTAGATGCAACTCCGCACATCCCCTTTATCAGCTGGAACATGGCTGCATTCATTTTTGCTGGCTCGCTGCGGGACGATCCCAGAAATAACCGGCAATGCGCTGCCCGCCTGCGCTTCAGCCCCTCGCCCACAGACACGGCGCAACGCGAAGGTGGCCGAGGTTCCACGAAAACGACGCGCGCAGCGTGACAGACCCGTCTGTGCCAGCTCTGTAAAACACAAGTGCCCGGTGGCATCGCCGCCACCTTTTGTTGAGCGCGGCCGGCAGAGCCCGGGAGCCTCCGCTCCTCCGAGCGCCGCCTCTGCCGCGCGGCTCGCTCGCAACTGCCATCGCGGCCTCCCTGCCCCCACGGCCTTCCCTCCTTCTCCAGCCCTTCTTCCCACACAGCCCCCAGTTGGAACATCCGAGCAGTTTGCTGAGGTTCTGGCTCAAAGACTGAAGTAATTTGTTTCTGAATTGCAGATCAAACATAAACTGCAAAGAAGCTTTTAATCAGTTAGGAGAAGCAAGAGTATGGCTTGTTTAAGTCCCAGAATCCATAAACCTGTGATGATTTTATTATATTGGTGTCAGTTTTCATTATTTTCATGAATGGGTATTCCCTGCTTAATGCACAATATTTGCATCTGATGAACCAACGAGTTTAAACATGGTTTGTTTTAATGCTTTGTGAATTTGCATTCAAATTCATCAGAAGTAATTCTATTTGAAATCACACAGGGCTAAACACGGTGGTTGTAAATCCATTTGAACTGAGATGCCAGAACCAGCCCATTAATCTACATATCTACAATATAATTTTTGTAGGGGCGAGAGGGGGGGGTGCTTTTGTTCTGCCTTTCTTGTGTGTGATGAGACACACAAGTGTGAGTGTGAGTGTGTGCGCAGCAGGAGAGGTGCTCGGGAAGGTTGTGATACACTGGCTGAGAGGGGCTGTATCTTTGTCATGGAAACAGCCCTACGCAGGGAGCTGTGGAAGGCCGGAGAGCACAGGGTGAGCGTGTTGCCCGGATGTGTGAGGGGAAGGGGAGTCTCTTGGATAAGCAGGTTTCATAACACCAAGGGCAGTGGAAGTTTAATCAGCACCTTCTGTTCAGCGTGCAGATACCAGGAGGTGCACCCAGAACGTGGAGCACCACAGCTTGGTGTCGTCTGATGTTTTAGCCCTCCTGCTAACCACTCTGTTTGTCAGCCTGGATTTTTGCTTGCTCTTTCGTTATGGAGGGAATGCCTGAATTCAGCAAGGATCCTCTTCAGTGGGAACTGGGAGAATGAGGAGGGAAAGGAGGAGGCTGAATTCTAGCAAACTGTTCCACTGCTTGCTGGCTGGAAAAGCTGAAGTGTACTTCTTCCAGTGCTCCGAGAACAGGTTTTGTTTCTGTGCTGTTAAGTAGACTGCACTCTCTGAAGTGCAGGTGTTTGTTAAAGCTGCCCGTGACCAGATTTGAAGGTTTGCGTAGCATTGTTAGAGAGTGCAAATATATAAATACCCCTGTAGGCCTACTGTGTGACGTTTATCAACATTTTTCCATGCTAAGCTCTTAAGTATAGCCAAAAAATATATATGGGACTTTAAGTATTTACTGAACTATAAAAATATGTAGTTAATATATAATTTACTTTAACCCTTTAAAAGAAATATTATTACTCATTTATTAGATTAGGTGGTAATTCAAAAGGGGTTAGGCTGATGCATTTGAATGCATTCATAAAATCACTCAGCATAGCTAGGACCAGCCTAAATCTTTTAGGCTATTAGAGCTTAAAAGAGAATCATTTGGCCCGTTGTAAAAGTTCTTTTAAGCTATCTTTGTGACTGCCTTTCTCTGAGGACAGGCAGTTCTGCTTTGGCCCATTTAAAGCAGAAGTTAAAGAGTTTTAAGTCTCTGTTTTAAGTACATCTTAGACTGAAGGCTGAGGCATCTACTTAGTAAAGTGTTTAAGCCTCTTCTCAGTATTAGCTGTACGCTTACTTTCGCAGACCCTGACTACAGGCCCTTTCTTACCGATGTGAATCGTGATGGTCAGAACTCTGCCAGTAGACGTGCGCGAGATGAGCTGGTGCGTAAAGTGTTTAAGCCTCTTCTCAGTATATTAGCTGTACGCTTACTTTCCCAGACCCTGACTACAGGCCCTTTCTTAGCGATGTGAATCATGATGGTCAGAACTCTGCCAGCAGACGTGTGCGAGATGAGCTGGTGTTCTGAGACCTTTTCCTAAGGACCCAGTTTCCATCTCATACAATTCCGTGATTGCAGATAGTGTCCGTGGA